CAAGCTTTTTTTAATTTTCTTTTTTTTTTAAGTCATATCAACCATTAATTATCTTTGGTATCTTTGGTTTATGCAGGGAAATTTCAATTATGTGCAATAATTGTTACAAAATTTTAATGTGCATGTGAATCTATTACACCTACATACATAGATACCTACTATCTCTGGTTCGAACAATATCTGTTCAAACTTTGGCACAAAGGGAGAAGTAAATGCAATATATTCTATAAGAAAGGTGGCAAATTATTCTGCTTATAAAATCTTCACATACTATACTACTTACAAAATAGAGGAGCAAGACAAAGCAAATCGAAATGCACTTTCATATGCCGTACTAATCCTTTTCCTCCCAAATTTTGGTTTGCAGTGGCGTTAGAGTTAATTAATACTATAAGAGTTATAGCTTCTATTATAGTAAAAATTATTGCATTAGAAATCTCATACACAGAAAACAGATGAATTGAACTTCAAACAAATAATTTTATAAATTTCACAATTTAATATCATATATTTGGAATAAAACAATTTTAAAAAAAATAGTTATGCGGGGCGGGGCGGGTTGAAGTCTTCACGGGTTTACGCGGGTTTGCCCCGCAACCGCATCGTTTGCCATCCCTACTTATAGCTAGACAACTTGCTTGAATCCACATGAAGCCTCAGAGATTTTTACTGCAATAGGAGAAAAGCTAATTGTTTGATGGCATCAAAGACTTGCAGAACCAATTACTTTCTGATAACAATTGTAAACCTTTAATAATCATCTGAGGTGAAAAGAAAAAGAGCAGATGCTATATCCATCAGTCAAGAATATGAAACCTAAAAGATAGGAACACCAAAATATGAGAAGGCTGATAAACATGAAATACACAAAAATTTCCTGTCAGTTCTTTGAGGTAACAAATACTGTCAGCTCAAAATAATCCAGATTCATTGTCTTTCCTCTATATTTATTTTAGTTTTAAGGTAAGAAATGATGTAGTGTACCTGCTTTCAGATCTTATTTCTTCATTGGACACTAGGACCCGTTCCCCTTTGCTTTGATCTTCGATTCTATCATTCTTTTATGGATAAGACTTCAAAATATCAGTGGTTCCTATTTTATACTTTAACTCAACTGTTGCAACAGAGACAAACCTTTTTGCTATTCTGGTTAAGTATTCGAACCGACATTAACTTAGACCATGTGTATATTTGATGTGGCTGGTTGATAGAGCATCCTTGGCTCAAGGTAGGCGGAATAGCATCAGATAAACCATTAGACAATGCTGTCCTCTCAAGAATGAAGCAATTCAGAGCTATGAACAAACTCAAGAAACTTGCTTTGAAGGTAAGCTTAAACCTTCTCAGCTCTGATTTCTTTTCTAATTCAATACGACAATTATGCACCAATCTTAAGCTAGTTGGTGTTGACTACATACATCCTCCATTTGACCCATTTCATCCCTTCACTCTAATTCAACGCTAGGGGAAAAAAGGAGTACAGGCATAATTTGAAACTTACCTCTTGTTTGTTTTATTTGCCTAAAGAAGAGGAAAGAAGAAATAAGATCGAGGAAAACGACTTTCCTTTTGGCCCAATTATTTTTAGATGAATAAGAGACAGAAGCTTACAACTTCCCTTTCTAGTTACATCAGACAGAAGAAAGTAAATTATGTTCCTTCAGTTTATCCTTATTATCATTTACTCTTCCTGCCCTTTCTTTCGAGCAAATTATATGTAGATCATGATTATAATACGAGTGTAAGCCATGTTGTGAATCATATTCTTTGGATGAACTTGGTAAATATAGTGTGTTGGTGTTCTAGATATAAATCTGTGATCATATTTTAGAAATGATGGAGTTTTTAGCACTCTTTTTAGTTTTGCCTTGATTAGTTTTATTCTCCTCGTGAATTCTTTTTTCTATGTAATTAATTATTTATTGGTACAACTGTAAAATGTCCCCGGGTTCAAAGTATATAAGAGTAGAAAATCTAATTCAAGAATATGATTCTTTACAAAAAGCAAAAATCAATACTGAGTGGCATATCTTATGTACTTGTTCTTGTGAATTCATTTCTAAGAGTATCCTCCTTTACCCTAAAACTAGCTCATTGCTGAATGAAATGGTTTTGAGATCAGGTCATTGCTGAAAATATGTCAGCAGAAGAAATTCAGGGGCTCAAATCGATGTTCCATAATATTGACACTGATAATAGCGGCACTATCACATATGAAGAATTGAAGAGCGGATTGGCTCGACTTGGATCAAAGCTCACGGAGGCTGAAGTTAAGCAATTGATGGAAGCTGTAAGACACAATTCCTCAAGACACATTAGCTGTTTCTTTCCTTCACTTTGTTGTTCAATTTTTGTAACCATGAAATAACTAATGTCTTGTGCACTTCAGGCCGATGTGGATGGAAATGGCTCTATTGACTATATAGAGTTCATCACTGCCACCATGCATAAACACAGACTAGAAAGAGAGGAAAATCTATACAAAGCATTTCAGTATTTTGATAAAGATAGCAGTGGGTAAGTCCGTTGTGCAAGTCTAGTGCAAATCCAGCAGTGCATGATCAAACTTGTGGAGTTATTAAACCGCTGTTGACTTTTATTTTATCAAATGCAGGTTCATCACAAGAGACGAACTCGAAACAGCTATGGAAGAGCATGGAATAGGCGATGCAGCCAGTATAAGGGAAATAATATCTGAAGTAGATGCAGATAATGTGAGTTTTGTGAATGTTATTCAATCCAATATACTCGAGCCAGTGCTAATTCTGTCACATTTACAGGATGGAAGAATCAATTATGAGGAGTTTTGTACAATGATGAGAAGTGGAGCTAAACAGCCAGGCAAGCTCTTCTAATTAAACGAGTCGCCTAGTCGTGAATTCTTCAAAAGTTGCACCATGGGAGGGTATATCATGGCCAGCCTTAACAGTTGGGATTTTAAAGTTTTCGAAAACCTGTATATTGTTGATTCCTCCTTTCTAAAATCTTTATTATCTATGTGGTTCTTTTTCTCCCTTTTTTTATAAACTGTGTTTGACTAGACAGACTACTCAGTAGTTGCAAGTTATTTTCCATTTCGCAAATGAGATTGTCCTAGAGGTTGGGTGTTACATTTTATGCCAGGCTTTTCAAATTGAGGTGTGAATATGAAGGAAGCTAAAATTGGGGGTATCCGATGAAATATTTTCCTTCTTTTGTGAAAGAAAAATCTAAAGGTATGGGGACACAGTAGGGGTGTACGCATCAAACCGAGTCAAATCGGGAAATAAAACCTGATGTGGTTTGGTTTAATTTGGTTTGGTATTGGAAAATAAAACCCGACCATATTTGGTTTGGTTTGGTTTTAACTAAAAAAAAGTCAAACTGAAACCAAATCAACCCAATAGTACATTTATATAATTTTTAAAAATATTTTATACATATAAATATTTATTGTAATGTAATTTATAAATATTTCTTAAACTTTTTACAATTTTATCTTTTAACGTATTATTTCAAGTTTAGACTTAACATTCTTGAATGGTAAATAAATTTTATAGCCCATAAATGTAGTAACTCAAACAAAGTTCAAATCAATATTAATGCTAACAAAAGAAATTCAATTCAATACTAGGAATGATTATAGTGTTGGATAATTATTTTAGTTTTACATTGATTTATACTAAAAATGCATAACTTAGTTTATCTTTTTCTTTAGTGCTTAGTTATGTAATTAATATTAGTACTTATTAGCTATACTTATTTTAGCATGACCTATATAGTATTTTTAGATTATGTTAATTTTCATTATGGCTTATTAATTAGCAATATTTATTTTATGTAATTTTATTATTTTATCTTTGTTATTGAATATTTTAGTATAATGCTATGACTTATCTCATATTATTGTGTTAAAACACATTATATAGTTGTATTTTACTAGGACTTAAGAAATATTTGGAGCACAAGTTACATATTTTATGCTATGAAGACTTTACCGGAAAAAAATCCGAAAATCCGAGAAAAACAGAGATTGAAAAACCCGACTTTGTTGGTTTGGTTTGGTTTATAAATTTAAAAACCCGACACTATTGGTTTGGTTTGATAATTAAAAAATCCGAACCAACCCGACCTATGTACACCCATTTTCATAACTTAATTACTTGCTTCCCAAACAAAAACAATTTCTCTTTTTCTTTTTGGAATAAACAGTATGAGCAGATACATAGTCAACGACTCAACTTGAGGATGTTATGGTTTTCCTTCCATTCGAAGCTATTCCTATTTAGAATTATATCAACTCCTACTGCCTATAATATATTTCAGTGAAAGGGAACCTCCACCTCTGAAAATCATTCTTTTTTTATTAGCATGTCAATTCATTATTCACTTTGATAAGTAAACTTAGATTATTAATTAAAAGATGACATCAAATCCTATATCTTTTATTTGTAGATAAGGTAGAGAAATTTTGTAACTTTCAACATGAAGATAACGGCTTAGACAGAGAGAATAGTATCATGTCAAATTGGTAACCGCAGTGAAATAAAGCTGAAACTCTTGTCAAATTAACGTGAATTATAATTTTGGTTTTGTTTTATATCTTAATTCAAATGCCGCTGGTTGGGATTCATAGTTCAAGACTGAGTAAAATGTATACTCCTGTACTAAGTTCATACTTCAGGGGTGGAACAAAATTTATGTTCCCTCCATTTCACTAACTTATTTGATTCACACGGTTAAAAGAATTTTTTTTGAAACTTGTGATCTGAATATGTCAAAAATTAGTATAGCTATAAGACTTTCAAAACTTGTGATATTAAACATGTCATAACATTTTTATGGGTATAAAAACTTCTCATTTGATTTTTATTTCTAAATGTGAATCTATATTTGTAGGGGGGAGCGGGTGTGGAAACTTATCCATGTTTTATTTATTAAATGCTTATAACTGCTATTTTTGACTTGTAGATGAAATGTTTAAGCAATGTTAGTACTTTGAAAAATTATCAATCCATAACTAAACTTTGAATGGTAAACGCTTTCCAACGATTAATAAAGATGACATCAGATACAATTATTTTAACTATCAAAATGGAAACTATCTCAAATAAATTTAGTAAAATAAAAGAGGAATATCAACTTCATATCAAATAAACTCTTTTTTTTTTGGTGCTCGTACTGGTAAGGTCAGCTGCTCTACGTGCTCCTTCAGCAATGTGTAAAGTGTACACCTTTTGCAAGTTCACACTTCAGGGATGGTACTAAAACCCAGAAAACTATTGATAGTCCGCTCAAAAGATTGCAATGACGAAAACCTCTTCCTAATTAGGTTCTTTGCACTGGCAGATTTTCAACGACCAGCAAATGGAAAATATTGAACATCATATATGCCGATAATCAATAGTTAATAAATGCAAATATGACTTTCATATGCTCCTATGAAAATACACTAGAGATTTTTCATGAACCTTTTACAGAGAACTCATCTGAGAGAGATGCTTTAGGCACGGGGGTGAGCGGGCAAAGGATTCAAGTCCATTTCAACTTGGTTGATGGTCCACTGCATACTCTCTAATTTCTGCATGGATATGAGTGGAAGTTAGCTTCTATCTCCAGAAAACAAAAGTAAGGAACTAATAATAATTAAGAAAACTCGCAGGAACTTTTCTTTTACCTTTACAATGTCATGGTACTGCCTAGCAATTTCGTCAAAATGAGGGTCAACCCCCTGATACTCACGAAGGCGGGCAGCCTAACATATTTCACAGATAAATACATATCAGTCTTGTGGTGCCAAGCACGAAACAGAGCATTCTACTATCTTATGAGTCAGCATATTTTAACTTCCTGTCGCAGAAGAACTCTTTTTATTTTTTTAACCTACAGTTTAGCATACAATAAACAGAGTAAAAGATTTCATAAAAGAAGATAAATAGATAAATAGATGTTTAGGAGAAAAAGCCATGCCCCAGAACAACCCAAATATCAGATTAATGGATTAGTGAAAAGCTATGTTGCTCGGATCCTCCAAAAATGCCAATGGGTACATGTCGTATTATCCAAAAACTATGCATTTTTAAAGGATCCAAACACGGATGCCCATTTTGGAGGATTCAAGCAATATAAGTGAAAACTACTTTCAAGCCAAAAGTGTAATTCCTCATTCAATACCAAACCTGCCAAATAGAGACATATAGTGATGGCATCTGCTCAAGTATTCAGCCACTTTTGTCAAAAGAAATAGTGAGGACAAACAAAGGACAAGCGAAAATATACAGGAAAGAGCTCCTCGTCCAGTGAAGTCCCATTTAATTGTCTTCAATTTCCTAAGCAATCACTTTTTTCATCCTCATGTTCCTTCACCACGGATGACATAGTTTACATGGAAAATGAAAATGAGCACTACCCATGAACAATCTTAATTGAGGCATTTTTTGGAAAGATGAAAAACATGACACTACCATCTTCCAATTGCATTTAGTATTGGGTGGCCCTATCGGGTAACAGTAGTGCTGCAATCTTTGAATGTTAAAATGTCCATGATTTTCCAAATGAGGTGGTAGTCCAAGGAACAAGCGTAAGCAAATCATGGAAATGTAGTAAATATGAAGATGATCCACCAAGCTGAAAAGAAAAATATTAAAATAGTATAAGAAAATATACCGCTTTCTCATATGCAAGCGATGCTTCCTCTGTTGCTTCAATCAAATACTTCCTGGGATGATGTTAAAATGAGTATACTTTCTTCGGCATCGAAAATCTAATAAAAATTTCTAAAGTCAAATTTCTTTACCTTATTTTGTGAAGTGCAGGGATAGTTTCCGGGGTATACGTCTCGAGTAGGAGAATATGTTCCAGAACTCTGGTGAACAATAGGAAGTGTCAGAAGCCGTTGAACTTGATGACTATCCACTAGTATTTCAAAGGCATAAATATCAAAGCAAGACATTGTGTGCTTTTATAAAAGAGTAACAGCATGTAAAAATGCTAGTATTAAACTCAATTACAACAGTATTATGCCAGTTAATTTCTGGGGCTTTCACATTCAAAAAGGAAAACTAAGCTCATAGAACTTAAAACAATACTAAGTGAATCTCTCCAGAAAATTCAACCATAGGGAGGCATAAGTCTGAAGTAGGAGAATATGTTACAGAAACTCTGGTGAACGATAGAGAGTCTGAGAAGCTATTAAACTTGACGACCATAATATTAGTATTTAAAAGGCATAAGTCTCAAAGCAAGAGATCTTTTCTCTTTAGTATGAAAATAACACAATGTAAGAAGATATATTGAAGTTGATGACAACACTATTATGCTAAACAAGTTTCTGGGATTTACAAATTGAAAAGAAAAAAAGACTCATCGGAAGTAAAACATTACAATTTTGAGATTTCTCAAAAAATTTAATCGTTTTGGAGGTAAAAGAGTAAACCAATAGAACATACTAGTTTGAATGGATCATTGCACCTAAAGAGTAGCTATCACTGACTAGGAGTTACGTGGATGAAATTCAAACCCTCATAGAAATGCTAAACAATGTACTCCCTGAATAGATAAAGAAATAATTAATAAATAAATAAAAAACTGCAACCAGGACTTCAACCACTGAAGTGCCAGATCACTACCTTCATACCAGGCAGTAGGCAATTGACATTAGGTCATCATTCTAAGACAGAGGAAGCAATAGTTGAACTGAGCTTTTCACCCAATCCCAACCCCACAATTAATCCAAGATAAGAAAGAGAACCCTTCTAAAAATCAGTAGCCATATGATGCACGAATGAATAGAAGAAGAAGTAATTTGAAACTCCAATTCCTCCACAAAATTGAGTCAAAAGTTAGAATAACGAACCAGAAACAAGAATAAGGTAAATCATACCTTAATTTTGCCCTCATTGTCTCACATCTTTTGCACAGCCACGTCTTTTGCAGTTCATCCTATTAATGGATCATTACAAATTATAATCAGAATAAACATCTATTCTAAAGAGCAAAAGACCATTATCAGTGCCCACAACATATCCAAAACTATTATGTGTCAGGCACCATAATCCTTTGGAAGAATCAGAGGATGGTTAATATGAACAAAAGAAACAAGAGCAGAATGGTTAACTTACATATTTATGTTGATGGTCCAACTTTATATCTTTGACAAGCTTAATGAGCACACCAAGGATCTGCTCCAAAACCTTAGACAGGTAAACATATAAAGTCAAATATTTTCTCAAGTAACATTAGCCTTTAGGATCTGTGGAAGTGCAACATAGAATGAAAAGGCTGACAAGACGAAATAGGTAGTCATCAATGATGCAAAACGGCATTCTTACATTATAGTATTCTGCAAATTTTCTGTTAGATGAATATAAATCCTCACGCCATGCCGTTTCCTCTCTTTCAATCTCCTCAATGATCAACTTTACCCTGTTACATCATATGGATTAGAAGCTCCCACGCCTAAATCTAAAAAGCAATCAAGAATAGTATTACATGATCATTATTTTAAATATCATTTTTTAGAACATGGCATCCAGCCAACTTGTGCCTACGCCAACGAATCCACCGGATACCTATTACCTCCCAGCATAGGTACATGTTAACTCTACCCACCAACACTTAGAAAGATGGGAAGAGTAGTTCACCTAGAGCCTTCTCGCCTCGATTCGAACTTTGGTTCCTATAGCTATTAATCCAACTCTTTGACACTAGGTCTGCCCCTTGGGGGTGAATTGTCATACAAGATTATTGAATAATGTACAATATGACAAGCCAATCCATTATTCAGAATGTAAATTATCTTTCTGCCAAATGTTATTCTTTTTAATGTATATCCAAAATAGATTTTATTCTTCCATGGAAATAGAATGCTAATAGAGACACGATAATGACAGATTAGCATCAAAGAGGAATACTTCATTCAACTTAACAAACTACAAAAAAGATGCACAGCCTATTCTATAATAGATTATATAAATCATAAAATATAAAAAGATTAGTGTATGTATATATATTTATATATATATATATAGATAGATAGATATATATATATATATATATATANTGAACTTTGATTGCCAGCAGATATATCTGTAGAACCAAGAGGTTATGTTCTTAACATACATCTTGATATGATAACAAGTTCTAAGAGTTCTTTGTTATTTAGATAGCAATAGAACTACTCAACCAATCACCGAAGAATACACTGACATGAGTAAATTCAGAACTTAAGCATCTCATCAGTAAATATTTCCTATTTGCACCACAATTTGAAACATTACAGTGATAGATTTTGGGCAATGCAATTGACAATATATAGACAAGAGTGGGTTGCTCTAGTGGTGAGCACCCTCCACTTCCAACCAAGAGGTTGTGAGTTCGAGTTACCCCAAGAGCAAGGTGGGGAATTCTTGGAGGGAGGGAACCGAGGGTCTATCGGAAACAGCCTCTCTACCCCAGGGTAGAGGTAAGGTCTGCGTACAAACTACCCTCCCCAAACCCCACTAGTGGGATTATACTGGGTTGTTGTTGTTGTTGTTGTTGTTGTTGTTGTTGTTGTTGTTGCTGCTGCAATTGACAATATATATTATAGCCATTGACATAATGATTCGCCCATAGAGGCTTAAAACTGAAGAAGATGCCCAGGTCCTACGTATCAATGCTGGGTTGTTTAAAAGAAAAACAGACAAAAATCCACCAACCAACAAACACAAAGAAAGGCGAAGGACCAAGAGAAGACGAAGGAAGAGAAATAAGCAATTTAAACGTACCAATGTCATCAATAGCAACTGTATTAGATAACTTATCACATTTAGCATCCAACCGGCTTCCAATCTCACGTGAAAGCAATCTCTGGTATTCTGCCACATCCTATAGCGACAGATGTATACGCATCTATGAATGTGTAGAACTAACACTTAAATAACCTGACGAAAAGTAATTCCATTTATAGATAGTTCACTTATAACAAGCAATCAACACATAAGCATATAAAGTAAGAGAGCCATGAAGATAACTACAACACTTCATTGAAGCATTAATAAAGAGAAAAAAATTCCTCACAAGACCATGAGGTTTTCTATGTCAATCATATAGGTTTTGTACCACTGATGACATCTGATGTAGTTGAGTTTGCCATAAATATGCAGGCGTAACTCCAAGGAATCGATTGGGAACACCACCAACATCTGATTCTGTTGCATCAGTTGTACTAGTAGTGGAAGCACTGCTTGCTGCAGGAACAGCTCCAATTACAGATGCATTGGTTTGATAAGTTGAGTTTGAGCTCGAGCTTAATGTGATGCTGGTGCTTGTGCTATCAATAGAACATCTCGACAGTATACTCCATTTTTCAATTTCCTCCTCGTGAATCTCACCGTCTTTGGAGATGAGTGGAAGCCTCAATCTCTGAGCTGCTTCCGCAACAACCATCCTATGCTCAAGAGCCTCATAAACCTGATGTCATTCTAGAGTCAAAATCACCCAGAGAATTTAAATTGATTCAACTAAAATTATTCCAAAGAAGAAATTGGCAGAAAAAAGGCTATAACCAGGTCCTCAAAATGCACAAAGCATAGCACCTGAAATTTATCATTTCGGGACAAGTATAGACTATGGCAGAAAGGCAGGGGAATCCGGGATCGTTGGTCACCCCGACGCTAGCTAATGAGTACCGTGCCTTCCCAGTGAAGTAGAGCCGTCTTCATGAGGCCTCAACGATCCTTGTGGCGATGTCCAAAGCATGATGACCCGAAATAAATAGGCTTACTTTTTCTTCACTTGAATCATAATTACAAGAATCTAGATTTGGGTGAATCCAGATTTGAGTATTGTGTCGTAAGAAAAAAAATGAATCGGAAAAAAAGGGGCTATTAGCTCAATGGTAGAGCGTGCCCCTGATAATTGTGTCTTTGTGCTTGGACTGTCAGGGCTCTCAGCCACACGGATAGTTAATGTGTTCATCGGCACTTGACCCTGAGCATTCTCATCTATTGGTAATCAATTTTGGATTTGTTTACAGGTACATACTCGATATGGGTGTGAGTAAGTATCGAGTAAGTGTACGTGCAAGCTTTGGTAAATTTTTGTGTATTTTAAGAGTCTGCATAAAGGGGGGCCTTGGCGCAAGTTGTGGTCATAGCCTCTTGCATAAATGCAAGATAACGTTGTGTAAATAAGACCCAATGTCGCCAGCCCTTGCCCCCAAACATGACGGGAGCTTAATGCACCAGGCTGCCCTTTTTTTTAAGAGTCCGCATGAAATACTAACCTGTTCTGGTTGTTATGACTGGCAAACTAAAGGATCTGTTTACACATAGCTGATAATTAAGCATGTAAAAATGCATCCATAAAGCCAAATGAACTGAGACACAATAAGTAAAGGCCAAATAAGTAGAAAAGTGGAACCTGAGGAGGGTTTTTCAGGCCCAATTGAGAGTATAAACCCTGCACATCTCGAATACCACCGAGATTGGCCACAGAAATGGCTTGCTGGTAATCTTCTACCATGGCGGTCGCCTCAATATATATTGCCTATAAGGTTTATCCAAACAAAGGGTATACGCAACAATTAGACTAGACAAATCAGGAAACATATTAATTCAATTCGAGTTTAAGTTATATACACCAACAATGTAAGGAATTTTTACACTATCTGGTCATCTTTATAACCTGACTGATACTGTTAGAAATTCTTTGCTATGGCGGTGTACATGACTTAAACTCAACTCAAAAAACAAATGTCAATTTCCAAAATAGAAGCCCTACTAAGGATTCCAAATAGCGCTGCCTCTCCTTTGACATTTCTTCTCTAGCCTGCATTTTCAAACAAAAACATCTCATAAAACTAGTTTTTTAAGTTTTTATTAATAATTAAATGGGGTTTAAGGTAGCATTATAGAGAGAAAAGAAAAATACGAGTTGGAGATCGAAGTAAGCTGATTTGGAGATGAGAGATCCATCAGGGGCTAAGCAGTGGCGCTCTAACTGATCGATCAGCTGTGTCACATCCGCCGCCAGGTTTTGCGAACCCACCCCTCTTACCATTTCCGGTCCACTATAATCGAAAGATCTCTTTTTCTCCTTTTCGTCGCTTCTCCGCCGATTCAAATTCAAAGTATTTAGTTCCCTTTTGTCGTCACTCTTATCCTTGTACTAGTAGTTTCCCTTTTAGAAAATTTTGCACTTTTAATCCCTCAAATCGATATGTGCAATTTGGATCCCTTTGCTTCTGAATCATAATAACAAATTTAACAAATTTATACGATTACATCATTTGACTACTTATATTAACATTGTGCTGTTTTTTTCCATATATTAGGGCAATAATAATATAACTCGAAAAGTAATTTAAATGTGTCATATTTCCTATATAAAAGGTCCAAAAATACACATTTTAACAAATTGAAGGTTAAATGTATTTAATTATGTATTACAAAGAACAAATTAGAATTTATCGATAACTAAGGAAAGGAATCGAAAATGCCATATTCCTTTCTCTAAGTCGAGCGCACCACCAGAATTGATTTTGAAATGGTTCAAGATGCCGGACATACCAAAGTACGATGGGACTTCAGATCCTCACGAGCACACATGACAACTTATACAAACGGTGGTGAAAGGAAACGACTTGGCTCAACATGAGAATAAGTCGGTTCTGCTGAAGAAATTCAGAGAAACCCTCACGAAAGGGGCCTTGACATGGTATTTACTCCTACCCAAGCACTCAATAGATTCTTTTAAAATACTCGCAGATTCTTTCATTAAGGCCCACACCGGGGCCAGGAAAGTCGAAACCCGGAAGGCGGACATATTCAGAATCACACAAGGAGAGATCGAATTGCTGTGGGGAGTTCGTGATTAAATTTCAAAAAGAAAAGATGTTGTTACCGGTTGTGCCGGATGAATGGGCAGTGAAGGAATTCACTACGGGTTTGAACCCGAGGAGCTCCGACGCCTCCCAAAAGTTGAAGGAAAGCCTGCTCGAATTCCAAGCGACCATATGGGCAGATGTCCATAACCGCTATGAATCGAAGATAAGGATAGAAGATGATCAGCTCGGATTCCCGACATCAACCAAGGGGCGGGACCGAGACAAGAGCCGGGATAAGGTCAAGGATGATTTTGATGCGGATCTGCGATCTTCCAAAGGCTGCTTTTTGCCTTACAGGAGAGCTGAGGGGTGCGGCAGTAAAGGGTTCCGGTCCTCGGATAGGTTCGCTCCCGAAAGAAGAACCGACTGGTGCCGAAACAATAGATCGTTGCAAGACAAAGAGGTATCAAGGACCCAGGATTCCACTTATCCCAGGTTGTCAGATTATAATTTCAACATCAGTATCGTGGAGCTGGTATCGGCAATGAGGAATATGAAAGAGGCGCGATTCCCGAGGCCAATCAGATATGATTACGGCCAAAGGGATCCTAACTTATGGTACAAATATCATGGGACTCATAGCCACGGAACTAGGGACTGTCAGCATCTGCGCGAAGAGGTGGCAACGCTATTGAAGAACGGCCATCTCAGGGAGTTCTTGAGCGACCGAGCCAAGAACAGTTACGGCTGCACCCGGGATAACACAGAACCCTCGAAGATAGGGGAAGACTCTTCTTGGTTGACTATCAACATGATTTTCTGAGGGAATGAAATCAATGGTGTAACCTTCTCCGTGGCCAAGAAGACAAAAATATCGGTGACCCACAATAAGAGACACCGGGAAGTCACCAAAGACGACATAACCTTCATGGAGGAAGACGTCGATGGACTTCTTTTTCCGCATAATGACGCCCTAGTAATTTTTCTTAATGTTCTAGACTTGAAGATTAAACATGTTTTGGTTGACCCAAGAAGCTCAGCCAACATCATTCCATGGAGAGTGTTAGAATAAGCCAAATTAATCGAAAGCATCATTCCGACAACAAAGCTCCTCGTCGGGTATAACTTGGCAGGTGTGACAACCCGAGGAGAGATCCTGCTGCCCACAAACGCTGAAGGGGTTACAAAGACTACTTTATTTGAAATGGTGGACAGTGACAAGGGCTATATCATAATTCTCGGTAGACCGTGGTTACATGAAATGAAGGTCGTACCATCAACATATCACCAACTGCTGAAATTTCCTACCAAGAGGGAATCAAGCAAATAAGAGGAGATCAATACTTGTTTCCTTTATTCCATATTCATTATTTAACTGTTGAATTCTTTACTTGAAATTGCTATTCTTGGAATATCTTGTTGTTGAATTTGGTATTAAGTTGCAAAGGCCGTGGTTCCTATTGAGGCAAAGTGTAAGTTGTTAAATATCATTTTATTGAGTTACTCTCCGGTTATTATTATTGAAACATTGTGTACATTATGGTTGAGCCGTGGGCTCCTTATTGTGAAATTTATTTATTGTTTGGCTTTTCTGGCAAGTTGTGATATTAGGCACTTGAGGTGCGAATTGTGATACGTTGTGATATTGATACGCATGCGGTGGTACAAGGTCTGGGTGTTGAAACGCATGCGGTGAGATAAGGTGGGCTTAATACGCTTGGCTAGTAGGGGAACTATTAGAAGTCATGCGGTGCGATAAGGTGGGCTAAAATGCGGGATGCTATTTCGGGAAAAAATAATTTTCAATACTAAATGTAAAGGTTCTCACGGTGATATAAGGAAAGACTGTGAGTTACTTTTATGATTTGGGACTACGAGGCGGTACCTCGGTAGTGGCCCTTATTGATCTTTCTCTATTTGATGTATTTGTTTTGGTTGTTTTGTTTCCTTAACGTGTAAATCCTTGTTTCCTTTTGTGTTGTATTACTGCCTTGATTCTGTGTTGTTAATTTTTGGTAAATTTTCTTATTGTTTCATTTCCATTGTCATTATCATTATATCATTATATCTTTCGTATCGTTTCTTATTATCTCCAGTAGGGCCTTGACCTGACCTCATCACTACTCTACCGAGGTTAGGCTTGACACTTACTGGGTATCGTTGTGGTGTACTCATACTACACTTCTGCATATCTTTTTATGCAGATCCATGCATATCTTATTAGCCCCGGCACTAGTGCGCTAAGTTTGTATTTGGAGACTTGAAGGTACACATGTCCGCGTCTGCAGGTCTCGGAGTCCCCTTTTATCCATTTTTTATATTTTCCTTATTAGACACAATTGTATAGGAATGATTTGGCATTGTCATAGAGCTTGTGACTTGTATTACGCCGGTTTTTGGGCTATTGTATACACTTTGAGCTGTAGATATTTCCCTTTATATATATGTTGTTGAGTTTTGAGATTTTAGATTATTGTTTTCATTCACTTCCATATGTTTGTTAAGCTTACCTACTCTTAGAGACTAGGTGCCGTCACAACATCCTACATAGGGAAATTGGGGTCATGACAGGAACCCAGCAAATATCAATTACAGGAACCGACGCCTGCTCCTAAGCTGAGGAGTCATCAGAACCCCACCAGGTACCGAGATACTTTCAGGTACCGGAAGAGACAGACGCGACCAAGTCCATGGCAGAAGAACTCGAACAAGTGGCTTTGTGTGAAGAATTATTGGAGAGAAAATTTCATATGGGATTTATTAATTTCCTTAAAGCTAACGTTGATTGTTTTGCATGGTCGTACCTGGATATGACAGGTATCCCGCTAGAGGTGGTCGTGCACAAGCTAAGCTTGGACCCGAATTTCCCTCCGGTAAGGCAAAAGAAACGCCCAATAGCCGAGGTCAGAAACAAGTTTGTTAAAGAAGAGGTAACTCGGCCACTTGACATCGGTTCAATCCGGGAGGTAAAGTATCCCGAATGGTTAGCTATTGTAGTTGTAGTTCCGAAAAGGAATAACAAGTTTTGAATGTGTGTAGATTATAAAGACTTGTATAAGGTGTGCCCTAAAGACTCGTTCCTACTGCCAAACATCGATCAAATGATTGATGCAACAACCAGGCGCTAGTTAATGAGTTTCCTCGATGTCTATTATGGGTACAACCAAATTAAGATGAACCCGGAAGATCAGGAAAAAACTTTGTTAATAACAAACTTCGGCACATATTGTTATAATGTGATGCCCTTCGGGCTTAAAAATGCTGGAGCCACTTATCAGAGGCTCGTGAACAAGATGTTTGAGAAGCAAATAGGTAAAATGATGGAAGTGTATATAGATAACATATTGGTCAAGTCTTTGAATGCAGGTGATCATTTAAAGCACCTTCAGGAAACCTTTGATATCTTGAGGAAACACAACATGAAGCTCAACCCAGAAAAATACACGTTTGGGGTTGGCTCCGGTAAGTTCTTAGGTTTCTTGCTTTCGCAAAGGGGGATCGAGGTAAATCCCGATAAGATCAAAGCCATCGAGGACATTCCGTACCAGCTAACAATCATAAAAGAAGTCTAAAGGCTAACTGGAAGATTGGCCGCTCTAAGCAGGTTCGTCTCTCGATCCTTGAAAAAATGTCATCACTTCTTCTCTCTTCTAAAGAAGAAGAACAATTTCAAATGAACTCCAGAATGTCAACATGCCTTAAAGGTCCAAAAACATAATCTATCAAGACCCCCACTACTATCAAAGCCGGGGGAAGGTGAACAACTACTAATATACTTAGCCGTCTCAGAGGTAGCAGTAAGTGCCTTTGCTAGTCCGGTAGGACAAAGGTACACAATTTCCTGTCTATTATACTAGAAAATTTTTGTCGAGAGCAGAAACTCATTATCCGCACCTCAAAAAACTAGCCCTAGCTCTCGTAGTCGCCTCTCGAAAGCTTAGGTCTTATTTTCAATGCCACTCGATAGCCGTTATGATGACCTTCCCTTTGCGGAATGTTCTTCACAAGCCTGAATTGTCAGGCCGGTTTGCTAAATGGGTGGTCGAAACCAGTGAGTTCGATATTGAATATAGGCCTAGGACTGCGATCAAATCGCAAGTTTTGGCTGACTTTGTGGCCGATTTCAATCCCCGGGTTATTACCCCTGGCTGCTAAAGAAGCGGTGATGGTGTTGGAAACGACATCAGGAGTTTGAACCTTGTTCACGGACGGAGCTTTCAGTGTGAAAGGGTCCGGGCTCAGGGTGGTCCTAATCATGCCTTTGGGGGAGACCCCGAGGCAAGCCATAAAAACTGTTCCTTTAACTAATAATGAAGCCGAGTATGAGGCTTTGATTGCAGGAATCGAACTGGCCCGGAGAATTAGCTACGAGTTCATAGAGATCAAATGTGAATCCAAACTAATAGTAAACCAAGTATATGGGATTTTTGA